GCCTCCCCTCGCGTGGGTGGGGCGCACTAGGGCGTACGCTGGAGGGCGAGGGTCGGCGGAGAGGCCCACGGGCCAGACGGCGCTTCAGGGAGCGCCCCGCCTGTGTGCACCCCCGCGCCAGTCAGCGGTGAGCCCAGGGGGCGGGGGGTCCTCGTGGCCGGGGTGACCCCAGGGCCCGGAGGTGTTCCCGCGCCGTGGAGGGCGCCCGGTGAGCTTGGGGACAGGCTGCCCCCGTACTTCGTAGGAACAAGGCTGTCACATCGTTCGCGACCCCGTGGAGGAGCGCATGTTGGCGTGTGTTGGCACGCAGAGTAGGTTTCTGGTCGCTGCCCTAGTGGGCAGCATGGGAAGCCCGCGTTGCGGTTCATCCAGTTAGCCAGGTGTTGCGGGGCGCTGGGCCGATGCTTAACAATGGTGCGAACCTGGTTTGCTAGCAGTCGCTGCTAGCACCAGCTGTTGCTGCCACCTGCTGTGTGCGGGGACCCTCTCCAGACACGTGTCAGGTCGTGTTTCAGGTAGTCACCATGATCATCTCTGTGGATAATGAGCTTGCTCGGGCTCAGGGAGGTTTTCTTGCGCAAGGTCACGCCGTCTGGTGGGGGGCCTGAATGGTATCCAAGAACCCGGGAGGTGTGACCTCAAACCCTGATATTAAACCATCGGGGAGCAGACTTTGTAGTCACTAACGTAAAACTGATGTTCTTAATACCATGCAGATGAGGCTGTTGTGGTCACGGGGTGCTCGGTCAAGTCTGCTGACCTTCCCTTGTTCAGCAAGTGTCTCCATTTTGTGTGGAGCCAGGTGGATGTTGGCAGTGGGAGGGCTGGTCCAGAGCTGGAAGCGGGTTCTGCTCTGAAGGAGCTCAGCGTCTGGGGGCGGCCGGAAGGAAAGGCTCGCTCACCCTCCAGCATCAGAGCTGGGGTCTGCCAGGTGCCCAAGAGGGTGGAACACCCACCAGCCCTGGGGTCAAGCAGGTTGCCCACCAGAGCTGTTAAGAGGCTGAGACCTCGAGCCATTCCTAGAGGGAACCACTAGAAAGGAGACAGGAATCCCAGAGTGGTATTGAGAAGCCAAGGAAGGAGAACATTTCTTAGGTTTTATTTATTTGTGAAAGAGAGAGCGAGCGAACTGGGGGTGGGGGGAGGGGCAGAGGGAGAAGCAAGCTCCCCGTTGAGCAGGGAGCCCGATGCGGGACTCAATCCCGGGACCCTGAGATCATGACCTGAGCCGAAGGCAGACGCTCAACCGATTGAGCCCCCCAGGCGCCCCTGGGGTAGGACGTTTCTAAGAGGAAGTGGGCCCCAGCGTCAGATGTAAATATTTCCGTAGGTTTTGGGAAAGAAGGCTTTGGTGTTATTAATGCTGACAGTTTAAGCGATGTTGGCCAAATGCAGTTGCAGCAGGGCCTTCACTGAGACGCTGTTGCGTTCGCTGGGCTGCGAAGAGAAAGTGAAACACAGCACAGTAGACCCTGGAGCAGGGTTTGAACCGCCCGCGCCCACTTAGGTGCATATGGTTTCGATAAGTACGGTACAGTGTTGTAAATGCATTTTCCTTTGATTTTCTTAACGTTTTCTTTTGCTGACTTTATTGTAAAAATACAGTACATAATGCATATAACATCCAAAATACTCATTTCATCGACTGTTACCAGTAAGGCTTTTGGTCAACTGCAATTTATTATGAACTTTTTGGGAGTCAACAGTTATAGTCAGATTTTCAACAGTGTGGGGAGAGGGCGTGGGCGCCCCTGACCCCTGCATTGTTCAGGAGTCAACTATAGTTGCTAGAATGGAAAGTGGGGTTGAAAGAGGATTTTTGTTGCTGTTCTCGTGCCGAAGCCGAGACAGACTTAAGCACGCCTGTTATCTTGAAGGAAGAATCCAGCGAGAGGAGGAGGAGGAAGGAGAGGCTAGGGCTGGGAGCAGGATTTCTGAGGCAGCGGGTGGGTTTTAAGGGAGAAGCATGGATTTGGGGGTGTGAAAGGGTTACTGCTCAGTGAGGTCTCTTAGGGACGCAGAAGGCAAAGCAGTCTTCCAAAGGGGATTGGGGAGAACTTTGGGGAGGATCCTGAAGGCTTCAGGGTTGCAGAGGGCAGCGGGCTGGGGAGCTGCCTCGGGCTGTGGACGGCTGGGCAGGTGGCCAGAGCTTGAGCTTGTGGTGGCCCCAGCCCGTGAGGTCTCGGGTGTCCCCCAGAGCATTTGGAGGTCTATGTGTGGAAGTGGGTAAGAGAGTTTGAATCGATGCGGAGGGGCATCTTGGCATATTTTCATTCTTTTATCATAAACTGTTGCCTACATTTTCACAGGCGTCTGTGTGCCTCGTGTCCACAGCCAGGCTTCTGTAGCGTAAGGCCTGGGTTTATGGTCTCAAATGTAGAGAGGCCAGGCAGGTGGCATAAATGAACAGAACTGGGGTCTCTCTTTTAAACAAAAACATACATTAGGTACATATCTTAATGTGTAGGAATAGTCCTCTCTTCCACAAAGAAATATGGTGCCTTCATTTTTTCCCAGACTTGTCTCTCTTTGTCCACCTTGCATTTTTGTCACTTTCGACAGACACAGGTATCAGAACAATTTCACTTTCTTCACTATTGTTCCGTAGAGGAACCCTATGGCAAGGGACAGTCTCGGTATCAGAGTCACGAGCCCGCTCACAGCAGCTCGCTGTCGCCCGTCAGGTTTTTCCAAAGGAGCTTGGGATCTAGAATGTCATGGGAAATCTCTTACTTTTAAAAAATGTTGGTAATTCATCAAAACATTAAAGGAAAAACCAAACTGTGATCCGAGAAGAGACGTACTTGGAAAATGGGAGATTGGAGCAGGGCGTGCAGGTTGACCAGCAGCCCTGGGTCGGTGCTCACGTCCCGGCATCTCTGACTGTGCTGTGTTCTGTACGGCTCTGGGAGGGGTGGGGAGGTCCAGCGCCGTGTGGGTGGGAATTCTGTTGTTCCTGTAACTCTTCTCTGTGCATAAATTAATTTCAAAATAGAAAGTTAGAGAAATGAGTCAAGCACAGAGGTCCGAGTCGGTGCGAGCCAGACCTCCTCGTGCCCCCGCCAGCGCCGGTTTGAGCCCGTGGGTCCCCCCAGGATTTCTTGGCCGCTGCCGGGCGTCATGCAGGACCTCGTGTGCACGGTACACAATCCTGAACCACCGGTGCTCTGTGCTGGAGGAAAGGTTTGAAAAGAGAGCATTGTGGTACAGCTATGAATTGCCTGACTTTTAAAACTGTCTTTCTATTTTTTAAACAGGTTTTACAAAAGAGGCAAATTATTCGACTTCTTCTAGATTTTTTCCAGTTTTTTCTATAAATCAAAACATCTCAAAATGGAGGCCTAAAACCCTTAAAAGGGACTTAGTCTAATCTCCGGGAGGTAGTTTTGTGCATGAATAAACAAATTCAATAGTGAACTGGAGTTTTGGTATCCAAAGAATGTTAATTTAAAAAACCTAGACCATATGAGCGAATCTAGTCATATGAGTTGTAACTATGAAGTGATGATAATCTTGGTTTGAATCTGACTTGTGACATAAAGGAGAAGTGATTCTGGCTGGAACATACTGTTGAGCCACGGACTGCGGTGCAGGATAGAAAAAAGGAACTCGTGTTTCGTAGAGATCTAAAAATGAGTGGTAGTTATCTAGAACAAAGAGTAAGTATTTCAGCCCTCTGCTAAATTAGAGAAATATGCAGGAGAGACCTCTGACGGGTGGGAGTCAAGAACTCCAACGTCAAGAACAAGATTTCCCAATACAACACATGGAGAGAGAGAATGACACGTGAGCAACTGGTGAAGAAATTATCTAACCATGTAGATGACCATCGATATGTTAGAAGTCCAAAATTTAGTTTGTTCAAACGTGCTATTGTCTGTGAGAAGGATAGCAGTGGGAATCACGGCTGGGGGGAAATGAACAGACTTAGCAGAGAAGAGGTACACAGAGAAAGGGATTGGCACCAGGAAGGTTTTTATAACAATGTGTAATGTTTTTGTCCAGTGACAAGCAAACCAAAGTGAGGCACGGTAACTTAGCTTTGAGGGAAATCATCATGGGTATGGAGATACATTTCTCATGCCATTTGGACGTAAAGCATTACAGTCTGCGTGGAAGCCCCAGCATGAGTGCACCAGGGGCCAGACTGCTGCTAGAAAACCCATACGGCTTGTTTGCTGGTCCTTGCTAATATTCTGGATGCAGACCCTATTTACTGGTAGCTAGTCACAATTGAGACATCCTGAATCTTATGAAGGTCTCTGCTTCTCAAAAGGAGTAGATTGTGACAAAGTAAACTTATTATTATTTTTTGTTATGATAAATTCCGGTTCAAGGTATGCTGTCTGTAAAATTAGTTCTGACCAAAGCCAAATTTGTACGATTTGATTATCCAGCTTAGCCTACAAATTCAGCGCTCTGACTTTTGATTCTTTTAAAAAATCCATTATCAGATAGAAGACTTGGTATTGTCTCTCAGCAGCCTGAAGCTGAGCCCAAAAGACCAACTAAGCGAATACATTCATCTTGATAATTTATTTGAAATAGAATGTTTAATTTGCTAAGTTCTAGTGGAATCACTATGACTCAGCAACCAAGCTCCTGATTATGGGAAGTAATTATTATTTAATAAATTTTGAAATAGGCCTTAAGATGCATCAACCAATTCTCTTCCTATTTCAGCTCTTCATTTATAGGAAAATTCTAGTAGATTGTTTTGTTTTCCCTATTAAAATTACTATAGGAAGAAAAATTAATTTGAGCAAGGTTTGGGATGTGCTGTATTTCACTGCATCTAAGACATCATTGATTGTAAGACACACCATCACTTTAATACTTTTGGGAAATAAAAATGCTGTTAATTAAAATATGATATGTTACAACTTGTAAGATACCTCTTGATAACAGATACTTGAAAGATGCATCTTAAATCAGTGAAATAGGGTCGTGCATTCTTCTTTTGAGGTAGGTCTTATGCTTTTTCTTTTTTTCTGGCTACCAAATTTCATAATTAAAGGCAAAACAAACCCAGTTTGAGTTTCGTTTCTGTAGAGCACTTAGTGAGCATAGCTTTCCCCAGGCCAGCAAGCTGGCTGCATAAGTCCCACGTTTCATCTGCAGGCTGGCTGAATGCTGCTGCACCGTGCCTGGGGGGGACAGGACGTGGAGTGGCCTCCGGTGACCCAAAGCGCTCTACGCTTTCACGAAGGGTTTTGATTTTCTTCATGAGGTGCTGTGTATCACCATGTTTACACTGTGTGTATAAAGATCATGCAAAGGTGCGGGTGTACGTAATTGTCCCTTAAAATGTGTCCGTGTAGAACGCAGACTCTCAGCATGCCAACACCCTAAACGTGCAGAGGAAGAGAAGGACGAGAGATGTCCCGGTGTGGGTGCTCCACCGAGGATTAAAAGTAACCCAAATCAAGAGCCGTGCACAAAACTACCTCCCCTGAGAAAGGCTAGTCCCTTTTCTTCCCCGTCCACTTCACTATGAACATTGTACAGAATAGCCTGTTCTTGTCCAATTTGCTGAAAAGCACCCCTGTGCTTGAGCTGAAATACGACCATTCGTGTGAACTCTATAGAATGTCCACCTACTCGGCGTTCCCCGCTGGCGTCCCCATCTCCGAGAGGAGTCTGGCCCGGGCTGGTTTTTACTACACTGGTGTGAACGACAAGGTCAGGTGCTTCTGCTGTGGCCTGATGCTGGACAACTGGAGACCTGGAGACCATCCTGTTGAAAAGCACAAACAGCTCTATCCCAGCTGCGCCTTTATTCAGAATCTAAACTCAGCCTGTGTTTCGGGAGCCAGCTCTCCACCTCCTCCTCCTTGTTCAGTAACAAACTCCACACATCCACTGCCTCCCAGTTTGGAAAACACTGGATATTTCAGTGGGTCTTATTCCAGCTTCCCATCGAATCCCATGAACTTCAGACCAAATCAGGAGTTTGCTCCCTGGAGGCCCAGCCCCTACAACGGTGCAGTGAAGACGGCGGAAGCCCGCTTACTCACTTTCCAGACATGGCCCTTGACCTCTCCGCAGGCGCCGGAACTGGCCAGAGCTGGCTTCTACTATGTAGGACCTGGGGACAGAGTGGCCTGCTTCGCCTGCGGTGGGAAGCTGAGCAATTGGGAACCGAACGATAACGCTCTGTCAGAACACCTGAGACACTTCCCCGACTGCCCGTTTGTGGAAAGTCAGCTCCAGGATGTGCTGAGATCCACCGTGTCCAACGTGAGCATGCAGACCCACGTGGCCCGCCTGAGAACCTTCTGCAGCTGGCCCTCCCACGTTCCTGTCCGGCCCGAGGAGCTCGCCACGGCGGGCTTCTATTACACGGGTAAGAAACCCCATCTGGTCATCAGACAAACCGTCCCCGTGCTTTACCTCACATGGTTGGAATGGGCACATTCTATGAATTCAGATGTTTTGGTCCAAAATTAATTTTAGGTCACAGCGACGACGTCAAATGCTTTTGCTGCGATGGCGGACTGCGGTGTTGGGAATCTGGAGACGACCCGTGGGTGGAGCATGCCAAGTGGTTTCCGAGGTAATTGCTGTGAAACTCTCTTTGCAAATGCTTCTTGTTTTTATGAGATGGGTTACACGTGTTTCCCTTAGAACCAGCTCTCGCTTTACTCTTTGTTTCAAAAACGCACTTGTGAATAAATTTAGGACGGATTACTTAGAAAAATAAACGGTTTTAGTAGAAGATAGAGGCTTAGGGTTTTTTTGTGTATAACGAAGAATATATGTCTGTTTTAAAAGAATATATGTTCATTATAAAACCCAAGCCACACATTGTAGGAAAGTACAGAGAAAAAAATCTAAGTGTCCAGAAATCTCACTATCTAAAGAAGACTAGCTGATGAATGGATAAAGAAGATGTGGTTCATATATACAATGGAATACTACTCAGCCGTAAAAAAATGAAATCTTGCCATTTGCATCGACATGGATGGAGCCAGAGGGTATTATGCTAAGCAAAATAAATCAGAGAAAGACTGTTATCGTATGACCTCACTCATGTGGAATTTAAGAAACAAAACAGAGGAGCATAGGGGAAGGGAGGGAAAAATAATAAGACAAAATCAGAGAGGGAGACAAACCATAAGAGACTTAATCATAGGAAACAAACAGGGCTGCTGGAGGGGAGGTGGGTGGATGGGGTAACTGGGTGATGGGCATGAAGGAGGGCATGTGATGTGATGAGAACTGGGTGTTATGTAAGACCGATAAATCACTGACCTCTACCTCTGAAACCAATAATACATTATGTTAATTGAATTTAAATTTTTAAAACATGATGAAGTTATTTTAACATTTGAAAAAAAAATAGAGGACCTGTTAACATTTTAGTGAATATCCCTGCAAACATCTCTTCATGCATATGTACGTGTACAGATAAATGTATATATCACATGAATTAGATATTATATATACTGTTTTGAAACTTTTTTTCAGTCAATCTTATGTCTTGGACATGTTTCCGTTCTTTCAACATTTAATTTAATTGATTGTCTATTGCTAGGCACTGTTCCAGTGGTTAAAATACTCAGTTGAACAAAACCAAGATCCTTGGTCTCATACGTTAATTTAATAGCGAGAGAGGCAGATAATTAATAAAAACTTAATAAATGAGTTATGTAGCATGTCGGAAGACAGTAGGTGTTATAGATAGAATGAAAAAACAGAGCAGAGTAAGAAGAATCAGAGGCAAGTCACGATATTAAATAGGGTGGTTAGGTAAATAGAGACCCACCTCCTCTGTTTTCATCACTATAGAACATTTCATTGTCAATCCTTACACTTTTGATTATTCTGTGCTTATTTACACTCTCCTTTTTTTATTGAAATCAGGTGGCTTATGATGATACTTCTCATGGTCAAAACTTTTAGTGTTTTTAATGTTGCTTGCTAAGCTCAGTATCCTGACTTATTTTCCTTATATAAGTTTTAGTATAATACTCATTTATAGCACCTTTACATGACCCAAATATTTTAGATTTCACAAGTTACAAAGATAATGAAGAAAACTTTACCCAGATGTTTTTTGAACAGTGCTGCTAGCCTTCCAAGGTGGTAATTTTGTGAATATATAAAAAGAAGGGTGAGTTTGCTTTGGTTGTGTGAGGGGTTCATTTTGTGCTTGAGTTAGACCATGATGTGTGTTATCTAGGAATTGCCAAACTTGGGAGGATCTGCCTTAATTAGAAAATGTGTTCACCTTCCTCATTATTTCTCTTGTCCCGCTTTGTATATTGTGAACTTTTAAACCTACAAACCTTATGTGTGAGCAGTGTCGTTTATGAGCAAGCTGTCTACCTGTCTCCCTGGCTCTGTTCTCAGTGTTCAGAGTATCTGTAGCAGTCTTTGAACTTTTGAAGAGAGCAGCTGGGAGCTCCGAGTGGACACAGCCTTCCTTGGCCCCAGGAGGCTGGGAGCCTCATGACCCACATAGCCCCAGCCGCGGCAAAGCTCAATGCGCAGCCTCCCTCGCTTACGGCATCTTGCCTTTACTGCAGGATGCCAAATGAGTGTCAAGGGGTTATATATATGTTTATGTTCACTCGAAATATTTAACAAGCTACACATGGTGGGATTAAAATAACAAACTTAATTTTGCTTACATTTTAGGTGTGAGTACTTGATACGCATCAAAGGACAAGAGTTCATCAGTCAAATTCAAGCCAGTTACCCTCATCTACTTGAACAGGTAGGGAAGGTTTTTTTTTTAGATCATCGGTTAACAACAGATAAATTATTTTCTGATAATTACAGAGAGTCATACTTTAGTGAAAAGAGAAGAGTTGCTTTAAAAATACATTCATTTTTTTAAAATACCCAACATGATCTTAGAACTATTCTTTGGATAAAAACAGATTCAGAATTAGAGATCTCCTGAAAAATAATGTTTAAGATATGGCTTTAAGTATTTCTTTAATAAGGTTGCAATAAATTAAGTTATTTGAGGAAAAAATTTGGCTGGGATGGTAGCATTTAATAGTTTTACTATACAAATTTTTGTTTAAAAGACTTGAGAGGGGTACCTGGGTGGCTCAGTTGGTTAAGCGACTGCCTTCGGCTCAGGTCATGATCCCGGAGTCCCGGGATCGAGTCCCACGTCAGGCTCCCTGCTCAGCAGGGAGTCTGCTTCTCCCTCTGACCCTCCTCCCTCTCATGCTCTCTGTCTCTCATTCTCTCTCTCGCAAATAAATAAAATCTTAAAAAAAAAAAAAAATTAAAAGACTTGAGAAAGAGAATTTTATTACTCCTTCTAATCTTCCTGGAAGGAGATTGCTGGGAAGGTGGCAGAGTAGGAGGATCCTAGGCTCACCTTGCCTGTCCCATGGGTACAACTAGGTAACACCCACGTCCGTGTAAATAACCCAGAAAATGACCTGGAGACTGGCAGGGCCAACTCCACAACTAAATACAGAGAAGAGGCCACATCCACGAGGGTAGGAAGGGCAGAGACTCTGTGGGCAGCTAAGCAGACCATGGGCTGTCCACAGGAGGAGGGAGTCACAGGCTCAGAGGGGGAGAGAAACAGACCCCACACCAGGGAGCTCACACAGGGAAGATGAATCCCCGTAACATTTGGCTGTGAAGACCAGAGGGGCTGAATTTTGTGAGTTCTTACAACCAGCAGGACTCAAAACTGGAATTTTAAAAATCGGCAGGCTCGGCTCTGGGACAGCCAGTGGGTGAGAGGAAACTGAGTCCCCGCCCTTAAAGACACAGCACAACAAACAGCCTGTGGAGATACGGTGTAAGAAGCGACAGGTTGAAAAACACGTGGGGCAATGGGAGGCAGAGTTACTCACTAATCTCGAAGTTCACTGAGGGATGTCTGCAGGAGCAGGGGCGCTGGCAGGTGCCATTTCCCACCTCTGCCCCTCAGCATAAACACACGGCCACCTGTGGGAACCAGAGTGGTGCTGAGGCTCACTACCTTGCTTGCTTAAACCATGCCACCTCCTCCAACGGCCTTCCTCAGTCCTGGTGCCGTGGGTCCCCTCCAGCCAGAAGATTGGCACAAACCTTGCTAACACCATATACTTAGTGGATCCACTCCATCCAATGCATTCTTGGCCGAGTGCATCCAAACCGGGGCTGCAAGCCTGGTAGTGCGTAAGGAGTCCCAACGGGGGCCAGCGCCGGTCCCACCGTGTCCCCAGCAGTGGGCTGGGAGCAGACAGCTGGGCTGCCTGCAGGCCCCGCCCACCAGTGAAAGCTTCTCAGCAACACAGAGAAAGTGCCCTGTGGTTCGGGGCTACTGCATCTCTGGTCTGACTCAACTCAAACCCACAGTGGCCCCAGATTGGCCCACAAACAACACAGGGACGAAACCCTGCCCACAACAGGCAAAGACAGCCTCTGCAGATGGCTGAAATGAAGGCAAAATCGGCTTAGCGACAACAGCAGGGCACACACAACACACACAGGAGATGCCCCTGAAGTGCCAGGTTCAGGGGAATGGGGGACACTCCATTGCAGGGCACTCCAGGACCTCTTCTTCATAAGGCCACTACTTTCAAGAGCAGGAGACGTAGCTGACTTTCCTAACACAGAGAAACGGACCCAGAGTTAGACACAATGAGGAGAGAGAGGAATATGTCCCAAATGAAAGAACAGGACAGGGGTGGCTGGGTGGCTCCGTCGTTAAGTGTCCACCTTCGGCTCAGGTCATGATACCAGGGTCCTGGGATCGAGCCCCGTATCGGGCTCCCTGCTCAGCGGGAAGACTGCTTCTGCCTCTCCCACTACCCCCTGCTTGTGTTCCCTCTCTCGCTGTGTCTCTCTCTGTCAGATAAATAAAACCTTAAAAAAAAAAAAAGAACAGGACAAAACGACAGCAAGAGACCTAAGAGAAACAGATACAAGTAACATGCCTGATGGAGAATTTAAAGCAATTAGCATAAGGATACTCCCTGGACTTGAGAAAAGACATGCGTGAGCTCTGTAACACAGAGATAAAGAATAACATAGCAGAGATAAATGAAATGAGAAACACTCTTGATGAAATGAACAGCAGGATGGAAGAAGCAAAGGAATGAATTAGTGATCTAGAAGACAGAGTAAATGGAAAATTATCAAGCTGAGCAGGAGAGAAAAAAAATTATGCAAAATGAGAATAGACTTAGGAATTCAGTGACTCCATCAAGCATAACAGTGTTCACATTATATGGATCCCCGTAGAAGAAAAGAGAGAAAAGGGGGCAGAAAATTTATTAATTTATTACTTATATTAATATAATAAATTATTAATTTATTATTAATAGCTGAAAACTTCCTGAATCTGGGGAAGAAAACAGATATCCAGATCCAGGAAGCAGAGAGAGCCCCCAAGAAAAATCAACCCAAGGAGGTACACACCAAGATACACAGTAATTAAAATGTCAAAAAGTAGTGATAAAGAGAATCTTCAAAGTGAGGAGAAAAAAAGACAGTTACATAGAAGGGAGACCCCGTAAGTCTAGCAAAGGTTTTTCATCAGAAACTTGGCAGGTCAGAAAGGAGTAGCAGGATATAGTCAAAGTGCTGAATGGGAAATAATCTTCCTGGAAGAGCAGATAGGAAGGTATATAATAGTTTGAGGGACAACTTTTTAGCCATAGTCATTAGAACTGATAGAGGGTCCAACTTATCCCAAAGGATGAGACAGATAATATAAGATGTTGGGATGAAATGCAAACAATGATTGTCTCATAAATCACTGAGAAGGTGTAGCCCTTTTCTTGCCTTCAGGAATACAGATTCCATAAAGAATAGTTTATGGTGTAGAGAATAACTCTTGAATGTAAATGAAATATTGCTTTCGAGATAAAAAATCATTTTGCCTGTAAGCAAGTCAGTTTGCAATAAATTGAGTAAAATAGATCTCTTGACTCGTTTATATTGTAAGGGACAGGCTAAGACTTATACTTTAATTTATAAACTTTTTTCCCCTGTAGCTGTTATCTACTTCAGACAACACAGAAGATGAAAATGCTGAATCACCAAGTAAGTATAATGACAATAATTACTACATTTAAATAGAACTGTTGGTCCTATGGAGATTGGAAGCTGATAATGGTTAATGTACATTTGTATGAAGCTCTATATTACGCACTCTCAAATGCATTAAGTTGGTATTTCTCAAACTTTAGTGTGATCATAATTGCCTAAGGAACCAGATCTCTGGTCTCTACCTTAACCCTACTGTATTGAGCCATGGCGTCTAAGGGTGGGACTTGAGTATGTGTAGTTTTAATAGCCGGCATGCATCCCGTGTCTCCCTTGTTCTCAGACCTTGTGGGAACACAGGCACTCTGACATGAGATGGCTCATGTATTCTGTAAAATGTTATTCCCATTCCTCAACAGGGACCCTGAAGCTCAGAAAGGTTAAATGACCTGTCTTTTGAGGCTAAACTTAAAAGGTGATAGAGCCAGTATTTGAACAAACTGTTCTACTCCATTATGTAGTGTTTAATTCAGTTCAATAAATATTTATCATGCGTCTGCTACTCTGAGAAAAGACTACAGAACAGGGCAAACAGAACTCCTGCTCTCATGAGCAAACAGTCCAGGGGATACAGACAAGTACGCAGGTGGGAGGAAGGGCTATGGTCAGAGAAGTAAAGGGTGCTGTGCTGCAGGGGCACGGGAGGGGCCGTGCACCCCGACTTTGGAAGATGAGAGAGGCTTTCCAGAGGAAGTATTTGACTTAGCACAGAATCGAAGGGGACGGTAGGAGTTAACCAGGGGACAAAGGGAGAAAAAGAATATTCTAGACAGAGAGAACAGTGCATGGAAGTCTTCGGTGACAAAAAAGAACGGGCACGTTTGCAGAACTGAACACAGTTCTGTATGGCCAGAGTGGGATTTGTGAACAGGCCCACGCTCAGAATGATCAGTCCTGCAGACAGAGTTTGACCCGAGAGCCGTTTGTGACTTCTGGGCTCTAGCATGGCATATGAATGAGAAAGTGGCAGGTGATGAGACTGAAGAGGTGAGGGGGGCCCGGATGGGTGCCGTCTTGTGAGCCACAGCTGAGTGTGAGAACAATGGCACAATGGAATTGTTGCCGGGATTTCGGAAGGAGGGTGACATAGTTGGGTTTGTGTTTATGAAAAGCCACTCTGGTGGCATATTGCCGAGAAGGAACTAGACAGGAGAGGCGCCGTGGGAGGCCCTGCAGTGACGGGGTGAGTGAGGACAGTGGCATCTTTGAAAAATATGTGAAGCATACTTGATTTAGAAAGCTCATTTGTTCATTCATCCTGAAAGAATTCTTGGTGGACGGGGATCCCCGACATTCTGTTCCTTCCTCCCACCCATTGTTATGCCTGATAATGCAAATTTTGTATCGCAATACAATATTCCATATTCTTATTTTAGTGACTGAACATGTACATTGTGATTTTAAGTTTAACAAAGTTAATACAAAACAATGCCTATACGTTTTCTGGGCTTTATGTTTTTGAAACTGTAATAACTTTCAATTCAAAAGATATATAGATTCTCCCAACGTGTGTGAAATTCTTTATTTCATGTAGTTGTCCATTTTGGACCTGGAGAAAACCGTTCAGAAGACGCAGTCATGATGAACACCCCCGTGGTGAAGGCCGCCTTGGAGATGGGCTTCAGTAGAAGCCTGGTGAGGCAGACGGTGCAGAGTAAGATCCTGACCACTGGGGAGAATTACAGAACCGTTAACGATATTGTGTCTGATTTACTTCACGCGGAAGACGAAATAAAGGAAGAGGAGAAAGAAAGAGCAGCTGAGAACAGAGAATCAGGTACGTACCCATACTGACCGTTGTCTGTCTGTGTGTGGATGTGATGTCACGGTGAGGATGTGATGTCACCAGGCATTAGTCACAGAAAACCTACTTCTTGTCAGGCCGATCAGGTGTTATGTTCAGTGGTCTCAATTTGAATTCTGGAAATTTTTTACATTACAGTGTATTTGAATTGCTCGTTAGTCAATTGAAAATGTATGTGTTGAGTGAAAGCATGTTCTTAATTTATACTTTTACTCTGGGTCATGGACTGTGTATGTAATCATTCATGGCCTGTGATCCCACGCTCACTCCCTTCGCTGTAAGTCAGGGTGGGATCAGGGACAGTTATTTTAATATTAGTGTCCAGAGTGTCTCAGCCCAGTGACATTAATTATAGCATTAATAACACACATTAATGTGTGAATTATGATTAAGTTTCCCGCCTGCCCACACAGGAACTGAGCTCCCCTTCAGGGAGTCCTTCTGTTCTTGAGGGGAGGGCGAGGACACTGTTGCACATTCTCTCAAGACAAGGTAGCCACGTCCCTCCACACTAGCCATGTCTGCCACTGTGTGGCCTCTGCTCTGTGGCCCTTCACAGAGACTGCCCCCCCCACAAGCACGTCCATTCCCACCTGGCCATTCTGAATGCTGTCCTCAGTCTGACCTAGACAGAAACGTTCACCCCTCCTTTGCCGCTCTTTGCCAAGCAGGGACCAGACCCATAAGTCTATTGAAAATAGACGGCAACTTTTCGCAAGCTCTTACTAGAGATTTAGGGATAATGGAAGAGCATTATATCATGGATGGTAATTGACAGCTGTAGCTGTTTGGGCCCCTCTTGCTGCCCCTAAGCCCATCCTCATGAGTCTCTCTGTCTAGCTTCTGTTCGGGTTCATCTCTGTGTAGCTCTGGACATTTTACATAAATGACTAGGATAGTCCCAAGCATGTTTTCCCCTATGAGAGCTCACGCTCCCAAATACCCCCAAAGCTCAGAAAGGGAAAAGAGTTTGCCCCATCTTTGTCCAGCACGATCTGGAATCTCTTTCTGCCCAGGATGGTTGGCAGATTGTCCACTCCAGGCTTGAAGAAGCCTGCCCCTTAGGTGGATTTGTCTTCTGGCCACCCTGGGCAAACACGTCTGATCCTGTCTTTACCGAAGTGTGAAGTGCTCAGTTCTGCAAACCACCAGCACAGCAACAACACAGCCCAAGCTTGTCTTTGCCCGTCCTTGCAGTGGTCTTCTCCGTCTTAGCTGTTGGTCATCATCTTTCAAAGAAGAGAACACCCACCTCCACAATTGTTTGTAGACCCCAGCTGTGACACATTTGTATTTCTTTCAAAGAAAATCAAAAGTCTGTAGAGATGACTGCAGTCAACAATATACAATAATTTGCATCATCAAAAATATCTTGTAGCATCTCTACTCCCTGTTATGTCTACACTGCCCAGCACACACACTGCATGTACTCTGTGCTCAAGAAATATTGTTTGAATGAGCGAATGAAAATATTTTCATTTAGGTTAGTGATGACTTTATAGTTTCCCAAGAACAGTAAGTAGGTAAGTAATTTCTTGACAGGTGTGTAAATAAAGAGACAATTTAGGGTATTATTTCCAGAGCAAAAGAATAATATGCTTCAAAGGTATATTCAAGTCCTTAGCCCTTACAAGCCAGAATACAGTCTGTGACTTTGAAATGAGTCTTTTTTCCTCAACCACTAGCAATACAATTTTAGAAATCTTGGGACACCTGGGTGGCTCAGTCAGTGAAGTGTCTGCCTTTGGCTCAGGTCGTGATCTCAGGGTCCTGGGATCGAATCCTGCATCGGGCTCCCTGCTCAGTGGGGAGCCTGCTTCTCCCTCTTCCTCTGCCCCTCCCCCTGCTTGTGCTCCCTCGCTCTCTCTCTGACCAATAAATACATAAAATCTTAAAAAAAAAGAAATCTTAAGAATTTCAGAGAACTTACTACATTAGTCTAAGTTAAATGTAATTAGAAAAATAAATCTTAGGGACATGTGGGTACCTCAGTCAGTTGAGCATCTGACTATTGATTTCAGCTCAGGTCATGATCTCAGGGTCGTGAGATCCAGCCCCACAGCATCCGGGAGTCTGCTTGTCCCTCTGCCCCTCCTGCTCCCCACCCCCTGTTCTCTCTCTCTCTCATCTCTCTCTAATAAATAAATAAACCTTTTTAAAAACAGAAAAAGAAATCTTAGATAGAAAAAGGCCCTGGTCCTTTTCCCAGTTATTCCCGGAGCTCGTTATCTTCAAAATGGGTATCTCTGGCCTTGACTTTTTTACTAAGCACTATTTTTTGTTAAATGGTTCTGGTTTATGTCCTACTGCTCGACAGAGTCAGTGTTTGTAAAATCTAATAGTCCTCTCCCCCCAAATAACTTTTTTAGACAGCCCAACTTCCATCATTAGTTATTTTCTAGAAAGAGCCTTATGGATCATAGTAAAATTGTGTACTAATGAATAAACTTAGATTCACAAGTCATATTCCAAGCAGATAATAAAATTGCAGAATTTCAAAATATAAAATATTTTATCAATAGAGACAAAATCTGGATCTCAGAGGAGAATACAATGATCCTATACACAGGAAGGTATCATTGACAAGATTTAATCTTTAAAATGCTGCTGGTGCCTTTCCCCACTTGCTCTAAAAGATTTGGGTAATGGCAATGTCATGTCTAATTTGGGGAAATAATTAAAACTTTATTCTAAAATCGAATTTCAAAGAAATTGTACAGGTGAATGATAATTTAAGAAATAAACATTCTGTCATTTTAATCTCTTGATTCTATCTTTCCCCAAGTTGACTAGATTGAATTGGAATTTTAATTTTCTTAGGTTCTAAGTTGGATTTGGTTAAAGGCTGAGCAGCTGTGCGGAATGTGCGGAATGTGGGGGAACGCGGACTGACGCCAGACCGCCTCTGTTTACTTTTCTCGTTGTGTGTCCTGCAGTGTGTTGCTCTCTGTCTCTCCTCTGCTAAGGGGGGGACACCAGTGCCTTCCGCAGTGGCCGCTGGGAACATGGAATGAAGGGACGCATGACGGAGAGTGCCCATCCTGATGCCGGGCTGCGGGGACCCCCCAACCTAGCGGTCACCTGCAGTGCAAACAGATCGTGACTTCTTCAGTCATGTGTCCCTGTGAGCAGAGGTGGAACATGTTTGTGTTTGTTTTCTTGTTCTATAAAGACGACGTAGCATTGATCCGGAAGAACAGAATGGTGCTTTTCCAGCATTTGACTTATGTGCTCCCAATCCTGGATAGTCTGCTAACTGCCGGAGTGATTAGTGAGCAAGAACACAGTGTGATTAAGCAGAAGGCACAGACGTCTCTGCAAGCAAGAGAGCTGATTGATACTGTGTTAGTAAAGGGAAGCTTTGCGGTCACCATATTTAAAAACTCTCTACAAGAAACGGACCCCATGTTATACAAGCGTTTCTTTGGTGAGTGCTGCACAATTACTTTGGGGAACTTTCTAGGTCAGTTGGAAATACGCTCTTAGCGTGACGAGCACTGGGTGATGTATGGAAGTGTCGAATCACAATTCCATACACCTGAAACTAATATTACACTGTGTGTTAGCTCACCGGAACTTAAAATTCAATTCAGTTCAATAAAAAAAAAAGAAAATATGCTCTTATCAATGCTTTGGGATTACTGGAAGTAATTCAATCTAATTTACAAACTGTTGCACAAAAAGATGAAAGATTCTTGTTGCATTGACGTTATGACAGTTATTGATAGCATTTGGCCAGAGTCTAAGCTGTTAGTTTAAAAATATATATTTTGTGACTAAATATTAACCTTACTTGTTATTAATAATGCTTTTTGTGTTTCTCCCTTAGTGCAACAGGACATAAAGTATATCCCCCCAGAAAATGTCTCAGGTAACGTAGTAGTAATGATTTAAACCAGTAGAAATCATGGGTTTTATTTTCTTGGCTTTTGGAGAAGCAGCAACAGGTGCCTTCATTAAAAATTCTTTTCTCTTGGTAGATTTACCAGTGGAAGAGCAGTTGAGGAGGCTGCAGGAAGAGAGGACGTGTAAAGTGTGCATGGACAAAGAAGTTTCCATAGTGTTCATTCCGTGTGGCCACCTGGTTGTGTGCAGAGACTGCGCCCCGTCTCTACGAAGATGTCCTATCTGCAGGGGCGCAGTCAAGGGCACAGTGCGTACGTTTCTTTCATGAGGAAGATCCCAAACTTTGTCTACACTTTAAAATTAATGGATTAAATGTATTGTAATTTTGACTACTATGCTGGTTGGTTTCCTTAAGATATTTATCTGTTTGCAACTCAAAACTGATATAAATATATATCCAAATGCTGTGAGCCGTATGTACCTAAGAGAGAGTGAGAACGATAGGCTTTTGTTCATGTGAACAAAGAGCACTACAGGGACAATACTAAATCAGAATTTCCGCACTACTGAACTCGTAAGTGAATGAAGCTTTCAGAATTTTAAATACTTTGGAGTCGTATTAAGAAACAGGAGCACGGATTATCTGCCTTTCTTGATCCAAATCCTGTATGTAGAAGGTCTTGATATTTGTTGAATGACTTTTTGGGGACTTGGTGGTTTTGTAAAGAATTCTGTGATGAACATTTTAATAAAGCCATAAAATTACTCTTGTTCTTAAACTCTTTATTTCTGTGTCCGTTTGCTCCCTCCCAGGCTGCCTCTAACCTCCTTAAGACCCCATGGGTGTTGAACTATACTTAGATCCCTTTCTCGAAGATGCTTCTTCATTCACACCATAGATCCCAAGGGGGGGATCACACCTGGCTTTCATCGGCAGGGTTTTGTGGGATGTCTGAGTAGAGATCAGCAAGCTTGCTTGTTCGTTCAGGAAGTCTCATGCCTGCCCTACCCGTCGGGAAACGTTCTGTGCTTTGTTCTCACCACTTTGCTCTGAAATCTGGGACTCAGTCTACCTGTTAGCAGCCTGGGCTGGAGCCAACAGCCCGTTCTGGTGAATAAATTTATTCCATACTGTCAGGGCAGCAAAAATTTTCCTTGTTTGCATTACTTTTTGGTATTCAGCATGCCCGATTAATAATTCTCTATCCTTGGTTTCCTGTAGACCTACTGGGGCTTTAAAACCAGAAGTAACACTGGAATGGGGAATATTGCCTGGGGACGAACAAAGGCCAGTCCCCTAAAGCAGTTCTAGATGTCTGCTGGAGTTCTGCAGAGAAAGGTTGGGAACCCAGCGAGGACGAGAAGGGCCATCTGTCAGCGCAGGGAGACCTACTCCTTTGCGGTGCGGCTGATTTTGCCTCTCTGTAAAAAGGACACATACTAACAGCTTCCTCCTGGGGCACCGGGCTAAATTAATTGCAACACTGCTTTGTTGTTTAGGTCCTTTGTAACCTAACATTGTTACAGGATAAATATTTAGAAAGTACATTCCCTTTTGCAACTTTTTTTTTTTTTTTAAATCTGGTCCTTATGGCACGTAATATTTGAATTTTGCCATCTTCACTGTGAAACTCTTGTTCATTGCTCATTTTGGTGATTCATAGCCAACATAGCCAACTTATTTATTCAAATGTTTTTTTCTCCCGCTAAGGGTTAGTTAACTTGAAATTCTGTTTTGGAAAAAATAATTCGCTGTAGACAATAATGGTAGCTCAGTGTGCTGATGGTCAGGCAACATCTGGAAGTGCTTGACCTGCATTAATTCATTTAATTTTCTCAGCCTTATCCTCTCTGTCCCCATCCAACCTGGTCTTCAGTCCCCTGAATTAGGTAGATGGTTCAAACCTCAATATACAATATCTAGTAAGTGTTACAATTCAGAACGTTGCACTGAGCTTAACTTCATACTTGGGTCATGCTCATGACACATCACTCTTGTCACTTCCTGAGAGTTACTGATGCTGGTAGCTGCTGGCCCCTGTTTGGTCACAGTCGATGTCCTTCAACTGTCTTCCCCTCCTTCTGAGGTCTCACGTGTCCTAGTAGACCACGTGGGTATTTACTAAGTAATTCCAGGCAAAACCATCAGACGGAATGTTGAAGGGATTCACTCTTTTATTTTTTTTTAAGATGTATTTATTTGAGCGAGAGAGAGAGTGCAAGTGAGAGGCAGAGGGAGAAGCAGACTCCCCGCCGAGCAGGGAGCCCGATGCGGGGCTCGATCCCAGGACCCTGGGGTCATGACCTGAGCCGAAGGCAGTCGCTTAACGACTGAGCCACCCAGGTGCTCAGAACCATGTGTTTTTTCTCCAGCGTGGGACCAGCATCTAGCACAGAGCCTGACAGAGAGCAGGCCCTTCCTGAGCACCTGACTGTGAGTTGGGGGTGGGGTGTGAGAGGCTTTCTTCCTCCTGAATTACCACTCTTGGTAATCAGAACCCAGATTCCGAATCAGGGGCCAAATACTGCCCTCCTTTAGTGATCAAAAGGAATTTTTAGAGAGGAAAGCTCAACCCAATTAAAAAACGATTCATGTGCGGGGTGGGATGTAGAACTATGTTCTGAACGATGAGGCAGGCACTTCAACTTGGAAAGAGCCTTTTCAAAAGGCCCCAACCCAGGCATTAGAATCCTGATAATAACAGTGGTGATAAACAGACTTTTACGGAACTTGCGTGTCCTGGGTATCCATACACATCGCTTATGTACTGCAGTTTAGGAAAGGCACTATATCACAGGGATTGGCCCTGCAGGCTTTGGTTCAAATCACTGCTGAGTCACCTTGAGTGACTTCGGGCTAATTATTTAGCATCTCTGTACCTCTCTGTACATCTGTGTGGAATGCGGGTGATATAAAGCATCTCAAGGAATTGTACTAAGGATTTAATGAGTTAATGCACTTAAGGTGTTTGGAATGCTCCACAAATGTTATTGAGTAGATACCGCTCTTTTTTTTAAGATTTATTTATTTGAGAGAGAGTGCAAGCGCCTGAGTTGGGGGAGGGTAGAGAGAGAGAGAATGTCCAAGCAGACTCCCTGCTGATCGTGGAGCTGGACGTGCGACTCAGTCTCACCACCCTGAGATCACAACCTGAGCTGAATCCAAGAGTCGGTCGTTCAACTGACTGAGCCCCCCAGCACCCCACTGCTCTTTTGTAAAGACACAGAAACTGAGCTTAAGAGAGGCTAAGTGTATCGCCTGTGGTCTCCCAGCTGGTGAGTGAGGCAGGAGGAGAACCTGGGAGACCTTCGGAACCCTTTAGTTCGGTGGTCATTCTGCAGGCAGGACATCAGAGTCACCTCCGAGAGGAGCCCTCATACAGGGGTCATCTGGTCGGTTTGTGCTGACGACAGAACTTAGGTCACGCCTGAAAATAGCAATCAATATATTTTGTCCTATTCCAAGTAGCTCGAGCATATTACGTCATAGTATATCATAATATGGTGCAATATACTACAGTACCCTATTGTACCATTTTCCAAATAAACGTAGTGTTAGAAAGAAAACCACACCGGGGCATAATACCTAATCAAACTGCAGTTTCAGCCCCCCAGGAACTAGTTTTAATGAGCCAGTCAGGAATCTGCCCTCCAGCACCACTGAGCTAGCCACGTGGGCCCCCTCCACCCCCTAAAGGAAGATGAGGTTATCTGCATAAGACCCCCAGCATCCCCCTACCGGAACAGTCCTTTTCTTTTGCTAATAACTTTCTTGCCCGTCCTCCTTCCTATAAAACCTTTCATTTAGTACAGCCCCTTGGATCTCCCCTCCCTGTGCTAGAAGGGATGCTGCCCATTTCATGAACCCTTTTTTTTTTTTTAAGATTTTATTTATTTATTCATGAGAGACAGAGAGAGAGAGAAGCAGAGGGAGAAGCAGGCTCCCAAGGAGCAGGGAGCCCGATGCGGGACTCGATCCCAGGACCC